AGAGAGAGAGAGAGAGAGAGAGAGAGAGAGAGAGAGAGAGAGAGAGAGAGAGAGAGAGAGAGAGAGAGGGACTTGCCATGCACTTGGGTGCTCTCTTGACATCTGGCGTGGCGTAGCAGGTTATTCTTTTACATCCGATGGTATAAAGGGAACACACAGTACAAGGTGGCCCAAATGAGGGGTCAACTCTTTTTTTAGGTCCCATGGGACCTCATTTGATACACTCCAAACAATTTGTACTTTGTACCCTGTACCCTGTACCTTGGTCCACACTTTGTCCCACCTGCCTTGGACGTTGCACCACCTCCATGACGGATGCACATAATACTGTTTTGGACTACATACAGGTTGACTGAAACGGTTTCACCCAGTTAACCGATATTTGCAGACAGAGATTCGATCCCCAGACCTGTGCCCTATCCCTGTACATTGAACCTCTGTGCTGAGTGAGATTCGATCCCTAGACCTATCCTATACCTGTACATAGACCCCGTGACGTGAGTAGGATTCGATCCCTAGACCTGTCCTACGTCCTAGGCTAGTCTGTAGGTACCCGGACAGTAGGACTCGATCCCTAGGTCTGTAGATTAGGAGTTAGGTCTGTTACCGTTAGGCTTAGGAAGGTATGTTCTAGAAGTCTCTATCTGAGTCTACTGAGCCCTAGAGTCTGTCTGTAAGTCTGTAGGCTCTAGAAGGTCGTAGGTCCCTGTAGGCCTGTCCAGTCAGCAAGTACCAGGGGTAGGGGCTGCACGTGGGGAAGGTTCTGGAGCACGCTGTAGGTTCCACACGTTTTGGCCCAGAAGGCCAAACGCCTGGAAACTTCCCTGGGCCACACGTTTTGGCCCAGGCCCACACGTTTTGAGGCAGGCCCGGGTACCTCCGAAGAGGTATAAATGAAGAGGCGGCGTCCACCCATTCATTCATTCGCCTGTGAGCCATGCGGAAGTGCTGCCTTGGTATCTTGTGCGTGGAGGTCTGCAGGTGGCCGGAGTAGAAGTGGGCTGTGAAGAAGACAGCGGCCATAGCGAACCAGCGCGAGAGAGACACCGGCGGGCATAGCTAGGAGGAGGAAGACGATGGCGGCCATAGCCGCCCAGCTGTTGGTGTACACAGGGTGTACAGAGTGTGTGTGTCTGTGCAGCGTGGACATTCAGAGTGATCCTCGTACGTGCGTGCATGTGAGAGTGAGGGAGAGTGAGGCTGGTGGTAGAGACAGTGTTCGGCGGCCATAGCCGCAAGTTGTACAGTTGATTCAGACTGAGTTCAATACAAGTTCATTGTTGTTTCTGAGTTGGAAGAGTTCGGTTTTGCCTTCGGTTCTCAAGTGTGCATATTGTGAGCAAGTCCAGAGTCGACTCGTTCTCAAACACACTTTTCATGCATGTAAACAGCAACGCAGCATACTGGCGACATGCGCCCACTCAAAACTCAGAGATATGGCTTTCAGACACGAGTTCACTCTCAAGTGGCTATGGCGACTTCAGCGCCCAAACATCTCACTGTTCACATACACTGGATCACCCTGGACATCCCACACGCATCACTCTAACAATCGAGCACACACACACACTCACTACTAACTACAGCTATGGCAGCTATGGCTGCCTCTAACCTATCGCTATGCTAACTCCTCCTCTCTTGCCCACTGCGTCCTCCGGGCTCATCTGCAGACCTCCTTGCACAAGTCGCTGTGGCAGCGCTTCCGCATGGCTCACACAGGAATGAATGAATGGCTGGGCGCTGCCTCTTGATTTATACCTGTCTCTTATACACATCTAGATGTGTATAAGAGACAGGGTCTAGGGATCGAACCCTGGGTACTGCATCCGCTACTGCTAAAAGGTGAAAAACGTTTCAATTGCATTGACTGTCGACAATCAACAATAGTAAGTTTAAATCCTGATATGGATAAGTTTATGTTTTGGTCTTCCTTCCGTACTCCGCTTTAAAAGAGAAAAGAAGAAGAAAAAAAAGACTCCCAAGGAACTCTGACAAGTCCCAACTCAGTTCTTCCCCTATATTAAGGGTTCCCTGCAAGGCTGCAACTATGTTTCCTCACTTTGGGAGCTGTGGAGAAGGCCCAAATGAAGGGTCCACTTTTTTTTTTTCCCACTTTGGGACTTGGACAACTGCTAGCATTATTTTTCTTTGTCAATGGGGGTCTTATGTGGGTAAGTTTATCATTGGTAGTGCATGATAATTCTGCAATCATTGGTAGCACATTTCCTCTCCCCCCCCTTTTTTTTTTCTATTTTTAGGCCCGGCCGGGCAACTTGTTCCGGGCCAGTCTGGTAGCCTAGTTAGCATTCTTGCAAGCGGACGCTGTCCGGGCGGTTCCGCACGTACGGCAGACCGCCGGACCGGACCCGCGCGGCGCACGAGTGTGCGCCCGACGACCAGTTACGCCCCACCCCCCCCCAAAAAAAWAAAAAAACGCCCCCGTCCGGTCTGGTCCGGGTCCATCCGGTCCGGGGGGAGGGTGCCGCACGCGGCAAAGCGGACCGGACCGGACGCTCGTCCGGTCCGTCTGCTTGCAAGTATGCTAGTTAGTAGTTTAGAAACTGATTCAACTGAATCAATTAGCCGTTGGTTTGTTGACTGTGTTCTTGACTTACTTCAACTGCCACTTTTCTAGAGGCATTAATAAATTGATAAATTGATAAATTGATAAATTGATAAATTGATGAATTGATAAATTGGTGAATTGATAAATTGATGATTGATTGCAATTTGAAGTTGACCATATTTGCAAACTACCCTCTGCATGTTGTTGCGGTTGATGTGCTACCCCTCGTTGCAGAAACAAGGAAGCAAGGTTGTTCTTGGAGGGCCGCGATGCAGTCTCCGAAGTAGAAAGGTCATAATCTTCAGTCTACCTCTCACTGCCTCCATCTCCATCTCCATCCTTTGCTGTGTGCTCCTAAAAGAATGTGGATATACTATTCTACCTTTGTTTCTTTTCTTTTCTTTTTGTACCATTTCCAACATTTCTTGTTTTTTTTTATGCGTGTGTCATCCTTGCGCAGGGGCCATGCTAATCTTCAGTCTCTGTATCGTTCCAATTTGGACGGACGGATGTCCCGACGGACTACTAGTATATACTAATTGTCACTTGTTAATTTTATTTTTTAACGGATGTCCCGAATTACTATTTTATTTATATTATATACTAACTTGCTAATTTATTACCTTACTATTAAGCAATTTCTCCGCCCTTGTGGCCCCATCTCTCTCTGCAACATCTCTGCCCCCCTTCCTTCTCCCATCCTCGCCAATCTCCCCCTCCTCACCCGCCCTTTGGTCCTACAAGACACACATCCATCAAGATTTCAACAATACAACCAAAATTTGCTTTCCCCCCTTCCCTGGACAAGGATGCCATCATGTGTGAATCCCTGGGCTTCATTATGTGGAAGAAAACTCTGATCGAATTCATGTTTGGATCGAACTTTAAGTTTACTTCCGTTCGTATGCATCCACATTTTTGGTTCGAACTTGAAATACATTTTCGATTGTTTTGAATGTGGTCCAATCTGGTTTTAAATCTGTGTTGCACGCTGTACGCGTACGCGTACGTATTCTCGCATACTTTTTTTTTTACTTTTTTTTTTTTTTTTTTCAGCGATTTGGCCCAGATTTTGGATGCATCACGGATGCTGTACCTTTAGAGAGTCTGGGCCAGATTTTGGATGTATCACGAACGCTGTACCTTCAGAGAGGTATTCGCATAAGTTCATTGGAGGATCATTGATTATACCACAAACATGGTCAGTTCGCTCGTTGGAGGATGATCAAATCACAACACCCTTCGAAGCTCAATTTTCGTCACACGGCTCACGCCAGCAAAATATTTCAATGTTAACTAAAAGGCAGTTATGCGATCGATTTGCTATGTGTGAGATTGACTATGCATGTGTGAAATTGCCTATCCAATTGACTATGCGATTGACCTTTGTGATTGACTATGCAATTGACTATGTGATTCACTTTGTGTTATTGACTATGCGATTGACTATGTATGATTTGTTGTGTGTGATAGACCATGTGTGATGGGCTATGCGTTCACTGAAAATGTGAGTGCTATGTGTGATTGCTGAAAATGTGAGTGCTATGTGTGATTGCTGAAAATGTGAGTGCTATGTGTGATTGCTGAAAATGTGAGTGCTATGTGTGATTGACTATGTGCGATGGAGTATGCGGTTAACTGACTATGTGATCGACTGTGTTTTACAGGTTTACAGTGACCTGATGGTAGATTATCTTCGAATGACATTGCTGAATCTGCCTGCGGTGCTCATAGCCCTTGGAATGTGAGTATAGTACCAAGTACCTTTCCTGGGCTCATACGGTCCCCCGTAAGTGAACCTTTGCCTCTGCCCCCCCGCCACCGCCCCTGGATGTGGTGGTGTAGCGCCCTTCTATTCTGGGGCGCAGCAGTCCTGTTGCTTATCACCGGCAAGCATGTTTGTACATCCAAGAAAGAAAAGGGGTGAGAATACGAGTGAAAGAGTCAGCCTATCCCTTGCGGCCCTAGCCGCCTACAAGGGGGGACCTGCTACAGGGCATCCCTCCTCCCAATCCCTGAGGAGGCGGGCTGCCCTGTTGGTCGGTAAGCTTACTTGCAGCACCCAGTCACACAGAAGGGCAGCCTCCCAGATGGTCCCCTAGCAGCTCCTCAGGCCGCATAACACCTTTGTTTTGCTGTCACTATGTCATGCAGCAACTTAAGCCTATAAGCCTTATCTTCTACCTATAAGCCTTATCCGCCCCATTCATACCTATTCCAGGCGTTATGTTCTCCTAATTTCCTTTTGTCCCTGGTTTCCAGCCCTGCCCTTTTAAGCCCCCATTTTTCCCGGCAGCACCTTCGTACTTACTTCATCTTCCTTCCCAATTACTCTCATCCTTCCTCACATTACTGTCCCTACCGCCCCATATGCTCCCCGTAGGTTCACTTAGCCACTAACTTCAGCTTTGAATGTTTTGTTTTTTTTTTCGTTTTCTTTTCGTTTCTTTTCTTTTCCACATTCGGCTAGTTTCTCGGCGTTTTGGCTAAGATCAAGTGTAGTATCTGTTCTAATCAGTTTAATATCTGATCCGTGGTCCATTATAAAAAAAAAAAAAAAAAAAAAAAAAACAATTGACAGCAGTGAAGTGGTTGACAGGACTATAATATGTATGTTCCAGACTTAAATAATTTAAATTACATCCAGTTGTTGTTGCTCATGGCATTTTTTTGCTTTTACTCGGTGTATCCTTTTTTTCTGACTTTTTTTTGTTTGTGTGTGTGTGTGTTATCATGGATGTCTGTGTGTTTCGCATGTGGTCAACGCCTGTGATTGAGTGCACAGAGTATTCTTTTTGGATGATATAACGGGATTTGAGATCACCTATCTGCTGGAGGTGAGGTCCAAGGTCCAAATCTCTTAGTATCTTTCGAGATTTTTTTTTTAAATATATTTAAAAAAAAGGGCTTTCAAGTTTCAACATAATTTTTCAGCTTTTGCTTTTGAGACTTGACAAGTTTTTTAATAAAATTTTAATTTTGACAATTTTCTGACAATGTTTTAACTTTTTCAAGTTTTAGCAAAGCTGCCATTGCCTTCGCACTTCACAGTGTTCACACAGAATCACTAATGAAATTGTAGCATCGCCCAGAGGCGACTCACAAAACGAGAAAAATGCGAGTGCATCTTCCCAAAGAAGGTGGAAAGATTCATCCAGTACAATTCATTGTAACGGTTGCATGTTGACACTCACAAAACGAGAAAAATGTGAGTGCATCTTCCCAAAGAAGGTGGAAAGATTCATCCGTTACTATGAATTGTAACGGTTGCATGTTGACACCTTCTGCAGGAAGATGCACTCGCATTTACAAAACGAGAAAAATACGAGTGCATCTTCCCAAAGAAGGTGGAAATATTCATCCGTTGCTATGAACTGTAACGGATGCATCTTCACACCTTCTGCTGGAAGATGCACTTAACATTTTTTTAGTTTCATGAGTGGTGTGGCAAGGGCCATACAGTGCATACACTGCAGGCCGTTGAGGGTTCAGCCTCCTCACTCCTTTTTTTGTTTTTGTTTTTCCAGAAACCATCAAAATGCATGAAGAGTCTTATGTCGTGGAGAGAGGCCCAATATCATGGATACCGCGAACCTGGACACTGGACACCAGATGGTCCAGACTGGGTCTATATTTCCGGAAGTCATTTGGGCAAGGGGGTGTCCTATGAAGAGGTACTTTTGTTTTTATTAGTTTTCTCAGTTTCAGGGTAGCGGGTGTTCGGGTTCGGCCGAACCCCTGAACGCGAACGCGAACGTTCGGCCCGATCGTGATATATATATATATATATATCGTCAAATAGAACTGCCCGGTAAACCGTATATATATCTATATTATTTTTATTATTATTATTATTTTTTAATGTATTGCAGAGGGGGGGTTCTTCACACTGGATATTAAAAAAAAAAAAAAAAACGGGGCAGGG